GCGTTTTTTGGACTGGTCTATTGTCCCTGCTGGAACACCATTTGATCTGAGGATTCTGCCGAGTGCGCGGCGGGAGTCCCACATACTGGGTCTGTACTCTATAGCCATAAAAGTAGGCAACCAACGGATTCTGGTAGATTTGTTCTAATGACATTCGAACCTCTCATTTCTCAAACGATCTACGGTGGCGCTATTCCAAACAGACCATACACCATCATTTGACACATTAAATTTACGTCCACAACGTGTTCATGATGCGAAAACAAAGATTTCGTATTGACGATCAAGTATGGAAACGGCTAGTTTCTTTGTAAGCAGATCGAACTCACTGTCCTGCCTAAACGTGACACTCTACTCATAAAGTTGTGGAACACCCTTCATCAACCAACTTGTCAGTTTTGCGCTCCGTGAGACTAATCAAATAGGCTAGTTCCCGCCAGCCGCATGTTTCTCGAACCCAAATTGGAGAGATTTCGACAACTGCTCTGATTAGTGCATGAATTTGGTTCTAACAGGAAACTCATTGAAGCGGACCGCCATAAACGACAGATTCAGGTAGATTCACCTGAGTCCCCTGGGCGAGACCATCTAATTTGTCCACAGCATTTGCGTTGTCTACTATCGCAAGACGAAGAGGTACGCCATTCACTGGCTTCACCTTAGAGATGAGAGTATGCCGGTCATAACACAATCACCAGCTCGGCGTTGCCATGGTGACGGCCAGATCGTATCGTTTCCCCGTTCTGACCTGAGTAGAATTCCCACGAGTGCAGTCTATCGAATTCCTCTCTCAAATGCGTAACACACAGGGTTTTGAGACATCTTGTAGCTACCCTATCACCCACACACTTGACTGTTCAGCTGACAATCGCTCACTGGATCACGAGACTTATCTTTTTTCATGCCCACAACATGTCACATTAAGGTGACTCATCAGACATCGATGGTCTGCACCGTCTAGTGAGCGTAGCAACTATTAAGTGCTGACGCACCTATGTACACGCAAACGGATCTACATGTAAGGAAACCGAACACAGTCAGCACATACTCGCGCGCGCGATCCACACTTCACAGTATCTATGTTTTCTCTCCTATCATTAAATGACCGCGGTATGATCTAGCTGGAGATTCCTGCAACCGTGCTTGTTGCGCGTCGTCTCTCCACCCCGTCCCGACATGCTGACAAACGGTGGAGCACGAAACTGTTTGTGTGGGCCAAGTTTTGTGTAGCCCATACACAAATCATCACTTTCGTCTTAGAAACATTGATGAAAAAGTACACAAGGTCGTAGCAAAATTTATTTACGTTACAAGATTTTTTCCTTCTGGAAGGCAAAACTTACTTGCGATAATGTTAGACCTAAGGGAATAGAAGTCGCTAAATACGGCCGGCGGGGGCGGGAGGGGGGTTGGCTACAACAGCGCACCTTGTTTAAAGAGCCTCCACACATCGGTTTCCAATTGCGTTACTGCTAGAGGTGACATCGGTCATCACACAAAACACCATCGATCCTCGAGCGTAACCAGTCATCATCAGCTTTGCGTTCCGTGGCTGAAATCAGATCAGATGAATGCGGTGAGAGGCGCAGAGGCATCAAATTCAGGCGCAGTACACTGGATAGCTTTATCCATACAGACAGATGAGATACGAGTACTCACTCTGGGTACCCTCGGGATGCCATGGAAGTTGACCATTTGGAAGGACAGCTGAGGCATCGACCCACGATTAGGACCGTCGTAAAAGATATCGCTCGTATCGTCTTGTTTAGCCCATCCAACGGTGTTGTAGAAATTTTCCGCTGGCAGTTCTGCAACAGAGAGGTAATTTTTGAGATACAGGGAGTTGGAACTTTCGGTTTTGCTGTGAGCACTGCTGTTGTCACGCTGCGCAACAATGGAATTTAGCACGGAGCCAAAGGGAAAACCGTTTTGTCTTGTACAACATGAGTGACTCTCGTCTTTCGACCTGACAGGTCAACCCTTCAAAGAAGGGTTCCTCTAACTAGAGAAAAGAAGCATGGTTTCTCCTTGTTACAATTTCTGAATTGGGAATTATGAAACTTTGAATTGATTGATGGAGGTTGTCTCGGATCGGAGCCGCCAATGCAAAAAGTGCATGTGCGAAAAGTTAAGCCCCGCCACACTTTTTGCCAATTTGCTCCAGTTGAATGCAGCCACACAACCTTGATCTATTTTTGATGAAAATAATTCCTTACCCGCATCTAGGTTCATTTTGTGCAAAAATTCTCTCCGTTCGCCCGTAAAACCTTAAATGAACTTTCTGACGCTTTCTATTCTCGATCATGACAAGGAGACGGCAATAGGTTTTTTGCAAAGCCACTGAGTGATCCATCAGCAACGTTTATGCAACAATGGCCACCAAATGACACTTTCTACTGTTTCTGACAGGTGGAGGTGTAATGCCCGACAGTGTCGGCAAGACCGCTGGAGCGGTCTAGGATTGAGTTTAGAACAGTAATTCTAATCATTTATTGCTAGTCCAAAAATTTGGCGAAAATCAAATTCTGTTCAGAGGCCCACATGACCGCTGTCGAATGGAAGAATTTCTCGTGAAGTTTGTGACTGGCGACTTTTGCAGACTCCAACAGTTATCGGTGGCCCAGGTTTCCACGTCGAGATCGATGAAACGCTAATATCTCGCCGTAAAAACCGCGCAGGGGGAGTCCTTCCCCAGCAGTGGATTTTCGGAGGGATCTGCCTGGAAACTAAAGAGGTGTTCATGTATGCAGTGCCAGATCGAAATGCGGCCACTTTGATGGACACAATCCAGGCCTGCATCGCTCCCGGCTCAGTCATCATCTCTGATATGTGGGCATCTTACCAAGGAATTGGAAGGAAGATTGACTTGAATTATACTCATGAAACGGTTAATCATACAGAAAAGTTTGTGGATCCAACCACTGGAACTCACACAAAATTATTAATGCCATGTCCCAATTTTACTCTCCTCAGTGAAGCTAAAAGTACACATTTCATATCTCTTTTTTCCAATCTATTCTAGGTGGCAGGGGTTGATTTTTTGGCGGGGCTTGTCTGGAAAAGATCCCTTGTCCTTGAATTGCTTCAACAAATGGCGTAACCGAACTTTTCTCTATAGGTTTTTGGAACCAAAACTCTACCGAAGCGAACACATGAACTTACGAAGCCGAAAGTGAACGGTGTAATTGATTGGTTGTCCGGGTAAAATTGGGCAGGGTTGGCGTTTACAATTGTTCAGGGTCACATTCAGAACTGTCCCTATCCGGGTGGTTTGTGCTGCAGGGAACGGCAAGAAATGGGATGATGACAAGCAGAGAAAGTGATACAGTCGCATAAATCTACAAAACAACACGTCTCACAAAAAGGGGCATTCTTTTTTTTCAAATATCTAAGTGGATATGTTGCGAACGAGGCTAGTCTCAATGCATACACACGCTGTCACCCCGCCCTCAGGTGACACTCCACTCGGTCCTGTTCCAGAGGTTTGATTCTCACTGTGTTACTTACTTACTTACTCACTTGCAGAGAGTCAGCAGCTTGGTGAGCATTATTTGGAAAAGGTGAGGATATTGTATCTGTGGAATAGAGCAATGCGCAAGGGAACTCACGGCAGATGGAATACAGAGTTGCCGGCCGGTTCCCTTGGACCGAATCCATCAGAGCAATCGCACAGCAAGCGAAGGCGACTAATAAGAACATTGTCTATGAACAATCGTTCTCTTACGCGGGGTCTCATTTAAATAGGTTGGTTGAGCGTATCAAACGCGCAACCCAATCTGCTTGTACGGCGCCATGCGACTGTTTGCTTTGGCCAAGATGATTTCAACTAACTGGAATGGAGGAAATTCTTTAGTTGAACTTGTGGAATTTGCAATCCACAAAGTGCACTAACTAGCCTTATCTGTTACAGAAAACGGTGGAACTGTTTTCGTTCCCACACATGCACCTTGGAGCGTGGGAATTCAGACAATTTGTCGCGACTTGTATGCATTGTTTTGAATCGCAGTGTGTTTAGCGGAGCACACTGCAACTTTCCGGCGCCCGGGGGCTTTGGCATGCGTTCCGTGGGTAGTTGGCTAATCAATGGAATACGCAGGTACATTAAGGCCACATCAATGGCTAGAGACATTGTCAGACATGGCCCAGTCGCGCCCTCAATGGCGCTCGTGCATCCAAGCTATTGCCTTCAATGCACAGCTTCATTTCCAACCCCCCCCACTTGACAGCCCATTGACAGTGCTGGATTTATGCACCAATTTATCAGCTCCCGCCTGAAATGCGCAGCTACCTCCCCCTCCTTCCCAAGTCATCGGTGAACTAAACTGCGGCAGCTACTACCACTGTTCGACGACTACGCACTGGTCGACGACTACGCGGTTCTTACAGCTCACAATGATGATGATGATGATGATGATGATGATGATTAAGGCTCTCAGGGGAGATTTGACTGCATCTATCACCAAGGAGATGAAGATAGTCTTTGGTGTCATATCCCAGTCCAGTCCAGTCCAGTCCAGTCCAGTCCAGTCCAGTCCAGTCCAGTCCAGTCCAGTCCAGTCCAGTCCAGTCCAGTCCAGTCCAGTCCAGTCCAGTCCAGTCCAGTCCAGTCCAGTCCAGTCCAGTCCAGTCCAGTCCAGTCCAGTCCAGTCCAGTCCAGTCCAGTCCAGTCCAGTCCAGTCCAGTCCAGTCCAGTCCAGTCCAGTCCAGTCCAGTCCAGTCCAGTCCAGTCCAGTCCAGTCCAGTCCAGTCCAGTCCAGTCCAGTCCAGTCCAGTCCAGTCCAGTCCAGTCCAGTCCAGTCCAGTCCAGTCCAGTCCAGTCCAGTCCAGTCCAGTCCAGTCCAGTCCAGTCCAGTCCAGTCCAGTCCAGTCCAGTCCAGTCCAGTCCAGTCCAGTCCAGTCCAGTCCAGTCCAGTCCAGTCCAGTCCAGTCCAGTCCAGTCCAGTCCAGTCCAGTCCAGTCCAGTCCAGTCCAGTCCAGTCCAGTCCAGTCCAGTCCAGTCCAGTCCAGTCCAGTCCAGTCCAGTCCAGTCCAGTCCAGTCCAGTCCAGTCCAGTCCAGTCCAGTCCAGTCCAGTCCAGTCCAGTCCAGTCCAGTCCAGTCCAGTCCAGTCCAGTCCAGTCCAGTCCAGTCCAGTCCAGTCCAGTCCAGTCCAGTCCAGTCCAGTCCAGTCCAGTCCAGTCCAGTCCAGTCCAGTCCAGTCCAGTCCAGTCCAGTCCAGTCCAGTCCAGTCCAGTCCAGTCCAGTCCAGTCCAGTCCAGTCCAGTCCAGTCCAGTCCAGTCCAGTCCAGTCCAGTCGAGTCCAGTCCAGTCCAGTCAGGTACGTCCACACAGGAGCTAGAGAGAAGAACAGTGCATCTGAGGCCACACATCTAAGACTGATCTACCATCCTCACGCGTTAGATTTGCGTTTCAAATAAGGTCACCGAGCCCAAGTGGTGAGTAAGACACTACGTCGAAATACCCTGTGAACTATGGCAGAGGGTAGGGAGAGATATCGAAGGACGAATTTGTCATACATACATGTGGAACATGGGAATCAGAAAGAAAACATATAATGTCCTAGCTGACATCCCATCCGTAGGAAGCACGAGGGATGGGTTGCCCAAACCTAGACAGGGGAAGCCAAGAGGCAGAGACCGGGTTCGAACCACGGATCTTCCGCTCAGTAATTCGTGAGCTAACCACTGAGCCATCTCGCCCGATTATCGGGTTCACACTATGTTGACCATTCTTCCGTGAAGCATCCACAGTGGACTGAAGTGAGCACTTTTCACGAAATCAACAAGCTATTGGGCCACAGATTTGACAGTGAGTCCCACTCGTTCAAGTATACTCAAACTACTGGTAGAAGAATGTCACTGATTTGACCAGAGTTGCAGAGATTAGTAATTCACCGCAGTCAACTCATCATCATCATCATCGTCATCATCCGAATCATCATGTTATCAGCACCTTGTTCCTCACAGGTCACATCCTGCTCATGTTCTTCCTCTTCACCAAAATCATGCTGGTCACCATCGTTATCATCACCAGCCTCTTTCATTATCTTGATCGTCATCCACATCATCACAAACTTCACCAGCATCAACGACAGGTTCGATCCGTGTCACGCAAGGTTTCTGTCTTCGGCAGTGTCGTTCACCAAAAAGCTGAGAAGCAATGTTGCGTGCCTAACCTAGCTAAGTCTAGTGAGGTTGATGTAATTTTTATTGTGGGGAGGGGTGTGGATTATCATCGTGTGAATCTTTACACGGAAGTCGTTAGCTTGAGTGAACGCACGTCAACAAGCTTTCAGAAACGACTGTGTTTGACAGTGGCCCCAAGGACTGATTTGTTTCGTCCTGGGTTAGCGATTAAGGGAGATGAGAGCGATCAAGATGTCCGCGTTTGTTGATAATAGCTTCACCACCAGCGCACTGCACGACTGTTTGAAAGTGGCTTTTTAATGAATCCTATGGACCACCCTACGAATCACTATTGATTTTCATTAGCTAATCTCTCTTTTACGAGTCGTTCGACGTACTGATGCGACATCGCGTCCAAGGGTACCTAATACTTTTAACGTCATCAGCTGGTAGCGGTTGGATTTCTGGCACATGCAAAGGGGGAGTTCACCTCAGCTTTGTAAACCCTTTTCTCGATAGACAAGCTGATGTCATAAACGAGAGATTCAGCTGGGTTCCAGGTGAGTCCCTCGAAAAACCAAATTATATTGCAAGTGAGTGCATATTCGCTAATTTCGTGCAATTCGGTTTCAAGTGGAACATAAGGTTGACGGAAACCCGAGGACTGCGCCTACCTGATAAGCCCGAAGTGGAAAAGCGAAATCGGTCGTGGGCTGTCGACGGATTTTCAGGAACCTTATGAGTGGTGTCTCACAAATATATAAGCTGATATCACATTGCATTTTGACAATGCTGCTTTCGTCTTCCCCAGTCAGATTCCGATAACGTCTTTAATTGAACCGTTGGGCATGACTGGGTTACTCAGGACAGAGAAATTTGTTTGTCACCCCATTTTACCCATCAGGAAACATTAGATTCAGTTCGGATCCTACTCAGACGTGTTTACGGCTTGTGAGTGAGAGGCAGGCGCTGGGCTACGAAACAAGTATTGATGTGGTTCAATAGTGCTTGCATTTCGATGTGTTCTGATTTAAGTAAAGCCATGTCGTTTACTTAATCGATATCTGTGCCCAACTACTTTTTGCGGTAAGCGAGAGTTAAAACCCAATGACTGTTAAACACTGGTGTGTCTTGGGTACAGGACCTGGTTTGGTGTGATTGTCGCGACCTGTACTGCGTGGAGTATGTTGACACAAAGGGGTCCCTTGATCGTCCGCGAACCTGTTCAGCCCTGTCCTGTGTGTTGGTGTGGAGTTGTACGCAATGTGAAAACACTATGGGAAACCACATATGAGCAATACCAACTGAATATCATACAAAAACGATTGGACCTTGTATGGGCCAAGGTCGTGCCCATGGTATTTGATGCAGGTGAGAGCAACGTAAACAAAAGTGATTATATGGTATCCGAACAAAACGCTGTATCTGAAGAACGCACTACCTGTGAAGAGTGTGAAGTTTCCATTCCGAGAAGATCCGAAAGATTGCGATCAAAACCACCACTGGACTATAAACATCCACACTCTCATTCATGTGATGAACATGACTGATACTCTATTCATTATTCTCTTGTTTTAATATTCCATATGCTGTACATATACGCCAGTTCGAAATCCTACGTGCTACTTGTTACGCTGATCTGAATTCTGGATTTCTAGTTCGTCTGGTTATACTGATATACGTGTGCAACGTCATTCTCACAGATGAACAATGTTGCTTTTAACTGATCAACCCAGCACCCGTTTGTTCTATCTGACTGCTGTTCCCACCCCAGTGCCTGGTGCCAGAAAAAGAACTCACGATAAGGAAGACAACAGCTTTATTGTGAACAAGCAAGTGCCAAAGTTAAAACGGTTTCGCATCTTTTGACATTGATCCAAGCTGTCTGATCAGCGTTTAGTGAACACCCATCAACATCTATGAAATGCCTGAACGCTGATCATGTTCGATCGTGCTTCTGTGGCGTGCCTGAATACTCATCGGCTTTTTCTGAATCGATTGAATGATTGACCGGTCTGGATGCTTTCCAGCTTCCCTGTGGAGATTTTGGTGGAGTTTCAGGGTCTAAGTGGTTTTTTTTCAGGAATCCGACCCTCCTGAGAAGTGTTGGAAAAGTTAATTAGGCAAGGTGCGGCCGTTAGAGCTTCCATTTCTTGGGCTTTTGGAATTGAATGCGAGTCTTCCAGGACTATTCCTATCCATGAAGATGTCGAAGAAGAAAGTGGAAGGGGACAGTCCTGCCTGATAGCACTGGACGCGATGAATCATCCTCGTCATCATTATCATCATCGTCCGAACAACATCGGTGCTAAACGCTGGCGGTTCTCTGCCGTACAATCCGTTTGAAAGCAGAGTAGACGAGGAGGAGACTTAGTGTTAGCCTTGCACAATCACTCTAAAGTACATGCACCTCCAGCCGCCTATTCATACACTGACAAAAAGAAAGACATTGATATCGCTTAGCAGACATACCTTGCAGCTTGTCCAACGAGGCATAACTGGGTAACTCGTTCAAGATGGCTTAGTTGTGAAGGCTCAAACCTACTGACAGGAAGGTTCATGGTTCGTGTTGACTGTTCTTGTCTCTAGGCTTGGGTAACCTGTAGCGTCTCAGCGCCCGTTCTCCTTTCGGTTGGTGTGGCATCTCGACAGAACTTCCAAGGACCACGGCTGTTGGCACACAGTGAGGAGATTAAAGAGGTCAAAAATTTATGTGGGACCTCTTTGTTCCACAGACACTGTCTGAGTGTCAGTGAAGTCGAATAATGGTGAAGAGTGTTGGCTTCTAGAAGACTGCTCCAGAATAAGTCATCATCACCATCATCATCATCATCATCATCATCACCATCATCATCATCATCTCATCATCGGCACCATCATCATCATCGTCATCACATTTATCCTCACCGGCACCATCACCGCCATCATCATCATAATCACCACCAACACCATCATCATGAACATCATCATCATCATCATCATCGTCACCACCATCATCATCATCG